GCAACCACTGAGTCAGAATCCGTGATAGCACGGTTTTGAAAGGTGATTTTTGGAGCCCATTTGGAGGAGGTAGCTTGGCTAGAGCACTCCGGTTGTGGGCTCGATGGAGGGCTTGACAGAATGGTTTGAGGAACTGCGGTTTCATCTTTGTCAACAAGACGTTGCTCGGTTTGGGTAGTCCGAGCACGTTTCTTTGGGTGAGATGATGAAGGTTGTTGAGTAGGAAGGGCCACCACGGTCCCCTGAGTTTGATCAGTTGGTGATATCTCGGTTGGGTTTGTTTCGGTCAGAAACGCTTGCACGGCTCTCTTTTTGGCCATTTCTTGTTTGGCAGTAAGTGGGATAAGGTTAATTTGAGGCAAGGATAGGTCCGGTTCAGGAGAGGCTTCTAGTAGAAAGTCGGTTACCCTGGTCCTTCGTTTTCCACTGTATTTGTAGGTCGGTTCAAATTTAAGCAGGTCAGTCCAACTCCGGTCTGGATATCGCAACGCGGCGAGAAGCACGTTCAAGTTGGGGTAACTGTATTGGGACTTAAGAAAGTTCCTATCTACAAGAAAGAAGGCAACAATTAGTTCGGTTCACAATCAGAAAACCGAAATAACAAGAAGAATGCAGTAAAGCCGGGGTAACCCTACCGACTACACCCTTGTTCCAGTTTATTCTGTGGCCTGGGATCTTGGCTTGATGGTCTTCAAAATTTCCAGATACCCAGAAAAAATCATCATCGTTCAAGTCTTTGTCCGGTGTGTCCTTTATTATTTTTTCACGCCGACGCTTTATTCGTAAGTAGTAAACTCAGCCATCTTCGGCTGATCCTATGGAATACTGGTGGAAGAGCTCGGCAAGACCAAGGTTAAGGCCAGCCCGACTGTTTAGCTCGGCTATTCCGTTTATTATGCGGTAAGAATTGGTGGAAAGTTGGGTAGGGCAGAGTTTGGTTTGCCTGAGGAATTCACAGAGTAAGGGTTGTACTGGGAAGCGTAGACCGCACTCCACAATGGAAATAACATTAAAAGGGACAAAACCCTGTTTACCCCAAGGAACGGTATCTAGGTCGGCTAAGGTGAGGAGAACATCGTCAGGGATGTTATAATCCTTTCGGAATTCAGCCATACCACCAGGTGTGTTTACTAAATACCTATACTTTCCCATTATGGTTTAAGTTATGAATAAATTTTACTTGGGTGTTAGCTTGGTCGGAGAATGGTACTGAGTAGCTCAGTTGAGCGCTCAAAGGAGTGCCTGGGCAACCTAAGTCTGCAAAGTGAAAAACAAAGGTGTTAAGCACAGATCGTGGGACCGTGCTAAAAGAAACACATGCAAGATAAATGAAGCCCTAGCTCGGCTATGTGAAGTGCTTCGTGTGTTAGCTTGGTTTGAGCAAGGGTTCTGTTAGCTCAGTTTTAAGCCAAGGTTTGCTAGCTCGGTTTGAGCAAGGGTTCTATTAGCTCGGTTTTAAGCAAAGGTTTGCTAGCTCGGTTTAAGCAAGGGATTTGTTAGCCCGGTTGAGCCTATTGGGGCAACATTCTTAGTTCGGTTTGAACTAAGAAGGCTGGTTTAGCCCCGAGTTGTAGCTCGGTCATGGTCGTGGCTTTCAAGCATACTATTAGCACGGATCAATAGCCAGGCTAAATTAAGTGAAAAGATGGTTTGACTTGTTGAAACTACTTGCAAAGCATGAAGAGTTAGTTCGGTTGATTAGTCCGGCTAGATTGACATTGACTGCAAACAACTTCCTAGTTCGGTTACATGTTGATTTTGAATCAAAACCAGTGTTTCTCAGACTATTTCATGAATTCAAGTGGGTTCTATTACAAGGTTTTTTTTCTTCTTCAGAAAACGAAAGGCAGAATGAAAAATGGAAGCGAAAGTGGAAAGTATGTTTTGAAAAGCAAAACAAGAGCTACGTAACATGATTAAATCAACATAAAGGAAGCATCAAGTCACTTACCAGACTAAAGAAAGGAAACTGAAGATGGGAGCAATGGCATCAAAACCACGAAGCTTCCTTAGTTGCAGGACAATGGAGGCTCGAAGAGAGAGAATGAGATGAATAGTGGTGTAAGTGATTCAAAAGAGAACAAAAGGGTTTGTTTTGATGGAAGGCCCAAAATTTGGGCGGGACTGTTCAAAAAACACGAGGTACGAAGACGGCGTGACAGCTACCTTCAGCCAATAAGAGTATGCCACGTGTCCTTGGGATAAGAAGCGATTCAGTTGCCGTGATTGAAGAGACGTTTTGACCGAACAAGTACAGCCCGGTGTGAATTTAGCTCGGCTGGAAAGGCTGAAAGAGTTTTAGCTTGGTTGGAAAAGCTTAAAAGCTTAGCTCAGTAGTAAGGTTAAAGTTTTTAGCTCGACTGGTAGACAAGGTAATCCCTATCATACTGCGCAGATAGAATTAAGGGGTAATTGAGAGGGAAATTTATATGAAAATTGGGCCGAGCTGGGTAATAGGCCGTTATGGGCCACAGTACGAAGGGCTGAGTAAAAAGGCCATAAAGTTACTTCGGTCCAAAGGAGGTTTAAAAGTTACTCCGGTCCAAAAGAGGCTTGAAGTTATTCCGGTCCCAAAGAGCTTACGGTAAGCTCGGTCAGGACCACGTTATTGGTTATCCCGGTCGAAGACATACCATGGTTAGTACTGGGAGAAACCGGGGTAAGAGCAGTGAATGGAAGAGCCGAGCTATAGTTATCTCGGTCTAGTCTGCGGATCAGCACAGTCATGCTTACCTCGGTCATATTGGAATCCGACCATGGTAAAACCACCTCACTTGGTTTAAGCAGTAAGGAGGGTGTTGAAAGATAAGCATTATCTTTTAAGAATATGACTCCTAGGAGGACTCTACATGGAGGAGTAAGAGTACTACTATGATTATGCCACGCGGAACCTATAAAAGCTCACAACATCACCCATGGAGAGGTAACACAACTTTGATTCCCGAACAAACAGAGCTTTTTGTCTATTTGTCTATTTTGCTGACTTAGGCATCGGAGAGGTATCCGGCACACACCCGCCGGCTAGCTCACGTTTGTATTTTCAGGGAGTAAAGCGACGACGTACGGAGAAGCGCAGACTTGATCAATAGGATTATACGGGAAGAAAATTTCGTGCCTGTACAACCACCAATTTATAAATAATTATTTTGAGAAATTAGAATTTGAATAAAAATTTAAAAATACATATGGGAATTTATTTTTTTCCCTACGAAAAATACATATTTGGAGAAATTATCCCTCTTTTTCCATTTATTTTATTTTATTTTTCTTTCTATTTATTTTCTCATTCATTTTTTCACAGTGTCACTGCAGCAAATAACAGCACTATATAATTTTATTATTATTATTATTATTATTATTATTATTATTATTATTTGTTCTCTTCTCTATGTTTTTTCCTCAATTTTTTTAATAATTTTTTCTCATCTATGTTAGCTAGCATCACCCAATACCATAACATCTTACGAAATATGAATTTTTCTTTTATTTTGTAAAAATATTAGTGTATTAAATGTTTTTTAAGAAAAATAAACATTATAACATTTCATATTTATAATAAAATTTTTTTTTTGACTTACAGAAATTACCAAATGTCACCTCATAAATATATATAAAAAATTATAATTTTAACTTTTCACAATCCTATATTCTCAAATTTTAATTATCATTAAAAAAAAAAGGTCAATTTTTCTCACCTTAATAATAAAAATTTTAAAAATAAATATAAAAGTGAAAAAATATCTAATCACGTTATAATATAAATTAAAATTAGATTATAGGGAATGAAAGATAAATAAATTATTTAAGAATAATAAACTATTTAAATTTGTCATTTCTTAAATCTAATTAAAATAGAATTTTACTTGAAGAAATAAATTATTTGAAAATAATAAAATACTCAAATAATTTGTTATTTATTACATCTAAAATCTATATCTCCATCTTTGTTTCTTTCATTTAAATTATTTTTATTAAATTAAATCTCAAAATTAATTCAAATAAGAAATATGGATGTTCTTTCTTAATTTTATTAATGGTTTATTTTTTCTTTTCTTTTTTTAAATTTATAAAAATTCAAAACTTATAGTGGAAAAAAAAATACAAAGTCAAGAAAATACAAAAAAAAAAAAAATGTGAGAAATAAAATGATAATTTAATATATAGGTAAATTACAATTAAAGCTTATTAAGTGTAAATAGTATTATGATCATTGATACAACTAAGTTAACACCGTTTGGCTTAAATTAACAGAAAAGAATAATATTGACAATATTAGAAAAAGTAACTACAAAGAAGATCCCTATAATTGTTAAACCCCAACGAGGTGAGTATAATTTACCCAAAAAATAAAAAAATGTATTTCCCATCATCGTTTTCATCATCATCATCATCATCATCATCGAAATCATCGAAAGTATTATTGACATCGGAGCTACATCATCAAAGATCTACCTTCAAGTTTTGCTCTAGTTAACATTGAATTTTACATAATAGATTCATGTCACCTCAAAAACATCTCATTCCGATCCCCATTTTTTCTCTTTTTTTTTTGGATGAAAATACATCTCATTGTTTCACAAAAACTCTTTTTTGATAAATCTTAAACCCTAAAAAATAAAAACTAAAAACATGTTTTTAAATTTTTAAAATTATTTTCATCCTCAAAAAATATAAAACTATATGAAAATAATTAATTGTAATTTTAATTTATTGATTTTTTACTAAATTAATTTTTAATTTAAAAAAATCAAAAAACAATTTGTAAAAACCGAAATAAAATCAAACTGATTTATTCTAGAATAATCTATAGTCACATCTCCAGTATTACTGGTAATTTTAAATTAAAAAAACAGATCAATCATAACAAAATTAATGACCCCATATAAATATGTCCATATAAATTACTGTCCATATAAATATGTCAATCTTTACCCAATGTAGAATCTTCATTCCTTTTCTTAGGGAGAAAAAAAAAATGGAAAAAAAAAAAGTTCCAACAATAATTCAAATAAAAAAATTCAAATTTATAATTGACTGTAAACAACAAAATTGAATGGAGAAGGATCAATTCATGATTTCGGTGAAGCCGATTGCCGTACCGCACAAGCCACCACCTGCGCCCACTGCCTTAATCTCGTCTTCACCATCTTCGGATCATCACCTTCACATTATTTCCAAAAAATAAAAAATAAAAAATATTTAAATTAACAAAAAAAAAAAGTTGATAAATCACAGCCGTTGGATCAACCTACCTGAGTCGTCGAATATAGTGCTAGGGTTCTCAATCGACGGCGAATAGGGATCGGAAACCACCGTGGACGCCGATTGCCGTACCGCACAAGCCACCACCTGCGCCCACTGCCTTAATCTCGTCTTCACCATCTTCGGATCATCACCTTCACATTATTTCCAAAAAATAAAAAATAAAAAATATTTAAATTAACAAAAAAAAAAAAGTTGATAAATTACAGCCGTTGGATCAACCTACCTGAGTCGTCGAATATAGTGCTAGGGTTCTCAATCGACGGCGAATCGGGATCGGAAACCACCGTGGACGACGACGATGACGAACTGGACAGTCTCTGGCTGTACTGCTTGTTAACGGCGTGGTAGAGTTCCAAAGCAGGGAATGTATTCGATAACTTCGGATCGATATCAGGCAAGTCGAATCGGAACCCTAACTCGAAGCAAGCTTTGAGTTCGTCCAAATCGTCGTCGGTGACGCTCTTGCTTCGGCGGAGGCCGCCATTGCCGCAGCCGCCTCGTCGCAGCTTGTGGTGGTTGCCCCTCCGCCGTGACCACGCCTCGTCTCGGAGCATGTCCGGCGACCACGAATTTTGCTTGAATAGCGGGGCCGGCCGCGGCGGAGGTCTGGATTCCGACATACGGAGGCGGCGGAGCTCGGTTTTTCGGGGGATTTTCGCGGCGGGAAAGAGAGTTTTTTTTTCTGAAAAAGTGGGATTCTGTGTATATATAGTTTGAGAAGTCGGGTTCTGGTGCGGTGAGGGCAAAGGTTTGGATGTTGGGGTGGGCTGAAGAATAGGGAATCATGATTTGACACGTTGCGATTGAAGGGATAATTATGGGAATTTCAGTCCGACAGCGGAGAATTACGAGAAAGGGCTTCATTAACAGCCTGGCTCTGTGGGCAAACCCTTTACAACAAGGCCTTTAGCAATCACCGAGCTGTCATTTTTGCAAGTTTTTGAGGGTCTTGGACAGAAGAGTTAGGTCAAAACAGTTTATTAAAAGATAAAATAAGTTAATATAATTAATAAAATAAAATAAAATATTTAATTTAATTTTTTTTTATAATTATCAAATTAATTATAAAAAAAGTTAATTAATTTTTCAAATATAATTATTTTAGCCAAGTTAAAATAGTTAAAAAGTTAAATAATCAACTAAAATTATCAATTTCTCACACAAGGTCTTTTTTTGGGTTTTATTTTAGGTTCACAATAATAATTTAAACCGTTCATCTTGTAAATCTCACAATGAGAGGGTTTGGCAAATGATTTTTTTAGTTTTTTAGGCTAAAATTTACAAAATGACAAAATAGACTAAAATAGTTAATAACATAAAATGTCACATCAAATCTATAATTATTTCGATTTTTCTTTCACAAATATTACATCTAATTATAAAAAAATTCAATCATTTTTCCAAATACAAATACTTTAACCCACTAAAATAGGGATAATTCTACGCCCCAATAATAACTCAGTTCGTTGAACTACCATTTTGAAATTTTAATTTATATTATATCTTAATGTAAATTTATTAATAAGAGCAATAAACATTAAACCCTAAAATAATTTTTTTTTCTCATGGTACGCCCAAATCATTTATACTTTTCAATTTCGTCTTTTTTTTTTTAAATTTTAATTATTTTATTTCCATCTCCTTACTCATCCTAAAACTTTAATCCACCTCATTAAAACTAACCATTATCATTAATATCAAAGTAGTACTACCATACTTTCATAAGATTCTTTAGAATGATTTCTAACCCAACAGTCATTGCTGCGGTTTGAAGAACCCCCTTAATTTGAAGCCCATCACAAAGGCAGCTAAGTTGAAACCAATCTCCATCCAGAGTGAACCTCAAGTTTTGATAAATGGTTGTAATGGTAGTTTACAATCTGACTGGAATATAAGTATAATAGATGATAGTAGATGCTTATCTACTGTTTTTTTTTTTTTTGATTTTCTTAGCATCAGGAAGGTCTTGCGCTTTGTAATTAAACCTGCCCATAAGTTGGCGCACAACGTATTGATCGATTATGATTGAATGTTATTGTTTCTTTTTGTTTCCTCCAACAATACTCTAGATATATGTATATCATATAGATATATTTAATTGTGGACATAAAAAGATTTTGTCGCAAAATATATAAAAAATTTAGAGATTTAGGCCAAGTTTGGCAACCTAAAAATAATCCATCATTTTATCTTTTTTCCATCACATCACATCTCTATTTTTCTGCACATCTTTTCGTAAAAAGACAAAATTTTGATTATTACATTTATATGATTAAAAATTTAGTTTTGTGATTTTTAAAAATTTCAATTAGTTCTTGAATGTTGTTGTATTTTGTTGAACAAAAGGAGTAGCTATAATGAGAAATCTGTTTAAAAATTTCTGAAAAGATTTTTTAAAGTGATGCAATTTGGATTTTTGATTTGTTTATTAGGTGTACTTTGAAGGGTAATTTAGGAAAAAAAATATTAGGTGTATTGAGAGTAAATTATAACCCTAAATAATTTAATAGGATGTATTGAGAAATTTAGCGTACTTCATAATTTTTTGGGTGCAAATAAAATTCCCTCTAAAATAGTCAAAAATTAAAATATTCTATTAAAATAGTCAATTTTCTAAACGAGGCCAATGAAGACCATCTGTGCAAAAAATTAGTTTCATCGGATATCAATAAATACATAAACAAATCATTTTTTATTTTATATAATGAAAGGTTTAAGTTTAAAGTCACAATTACTGTTCATTTTAAAAATAAGATGCAATTTTTTTCATATATTTAATGATATTTGATTAAATTAATTTTTTTCATAACTCATCTAAATTGTTGGGATTACGAAATGAACAATTTAAATTATCATTGTAGACCTAGAATGAAGCCCAAAAAATGAAGTATAAAGGAATATGGATGGGAAGTCATTTCCAGACAAAAAATTAAAAACTTATTAAAAAAATTAAAAAATTTAAAAATATACCAAAAAAATCAAAAAAATTATTTTCTCTCTGTTTTTTGTACGTTTTTTTTCTATAAAAATCAAAAAAATATTCCAAATATACTACTAATTTTTTTCACCTCATATTTTAGTTAAAAGCTAAAAAATACTAAAATAACATATTCTCAAGCCAACCCTTATTGATAATTTTAAAAAGAAAGTTATAAAATAATTTATAATTTATTGAATACGAAGCTTTTGTTCATACTCAAGTCTCGTTAGCAAATAAGTTATTTTAGTAATTTTTTTAATTTTTTATAAAAATATATGTGAAAAAATAGAAAGAATGATATGATAACCTATAATAATTTTTTAACATTTTAACTAAAACATATAGATACCAAACCAAGACTTACTCAAAAATAAAAAAAATTGTCGAGAAAATTATCAAGTAAATCGATAATTTCATCATATGTGCTTGTTCAATTATTAACACTATTGGACTTGCACTTATGTTTTACCAACTAGGAGCATTATTGGTCTTTTTTTTATCAATAAATATAATTTGTGAACCAGTTTGTTAGTAAATTTTAAACAGTAATGCTAGTTTCCTGACAAGCCTATGAATCTGAACGTGATAACTTAACTCGTATTATATTTAATTATATATGTGATTATGTATTTGATATAAATTTATGAGTTTAAGTATGAGAAATATGTGAATTTGGAAAAATATTTGTTGAAAGTAGGAATATCTATTGCAATTGAAATTTTGAACTGAAATTAAAGGCCGTAGAGGCGCGATAAGCAAAAACTGAATTCATAGTTATGATTAGCATGATTTTTAGAGCCTATGGTGAGATTTTGAAAAATCATGATTTGTAATGAATAAATTAAGATTTTTGAGTTAAGTTATATATGCATAGCCTCTTTTGTTCTTCATTTTGTTAGAAGAGGGCTCCAAAGTGTGAGTTAGAGAGAGAGGAAGAGGAGAAAGCTAGGGATTTGAAGGGAATCAAGGGGCAAACCATAGATTTGAGTTAAGTTATGAAAATTTACTTACAAACTGTCTCTAACTTATCTTGTTAAGAAATCATGAAGAAATTAGGAATTTTGAGCTAGGGTTTAGAGTTGTGTAGTGACTAGAGTTAAAGGCATGAAATTGGACCTTAATCTCTACACCATTGTTTGATTTGAGTTATATAAACAAAATTTGTGAGAAAATCATTTCTGAATATATGTATTTTAAACTTGTGTATGTAAACCATGAAATTGTGAAAAGATGAGACCATGAATTATTGTTGATGCAAGATTGATATGTTTAATGTGGAATTGCACTTGTATCATGCTTAGATATCATGTTTTTGAGTTGTTTTTACATGGATTTGGGCTTGGGAATGAAAGAAAAATGTCTGTATCTTGGAGCCTTTTTCGAACTGCCTGAGTGAGCCCAGACCGCTCGTGCGGCCTTGGGCTCCGCACAAGCGCCCAAGATTTAAGCCTAAACCCACTCCTCATTGTGCGCTTGAGCGACGGCCATTTCCACATGTGCGGAGCCAGACCGCTCGAGCGGTTGGACCGATCGCACGTGTGGCCAAACAGGAACAAAATTGTGTTGTTTTGTCTTGCTACCCCCGGCCTCCGGAATGCGTTCCCAACCTTATTTAGCCCCTTTTGGGAGTGAAATGATGAATAGAAACTCATTAAAGAAGGTTGTGAATAATGAAAGAAAATAGTACAATTGAAGTGAATCACTTATCGAATATGTGTGTAACACGTTTGGTGTAGGTTATGTGCCGGAGAAAACACCACAAGATCGATCCCACTGTGAGTAATAATACCATATTTACATGTTCGTTATTGTGTACCTTAAACCATGAACGGTGATTCGTGCCAACATTGTGATTTTTTTAAAATGAGAAACCTCATTAATGTTATATAACATGTGCAACGTTGGGTTTGAGGTCGTTTTGTTATATGTTGGGTTTGAGGCCGTTTTGTTATATGTTGAGCTCGAGGCCGTTTTGATATACGTTGGGCCCGAGGCCATTTTGATATACCTTGGGCCCGAAGCTGTTTTGATATACGTTGGGCTCAAGGCCGTTTTGTTATATGTTAGGCCCAAGGCTGTTTTGATATACGTTGGGCCTGAGGCCGTTTTGTTATATATTGGGCCCGAGGCCATTTTGAAATATGATTGGGCCCGAGGCCATTTTGAAATATGATTGTGTAGACGCGCCTTGTCGGCCCCATGCTACAGTTCGGACTCGATTTGCGTGTCGGTTCTTAATCTGATTTCACAATGTGCAATGTGAGATTAATAAATCACCGAAGAGTTCAAATCCGGCAAATCGTTTTGGAAAACAGATTTTTTTAGAAAGAAATGCCAAACATGGACTGCTTTGCCAGATACAGAGTCGCCACCTAAATATTTTATTTTGGGGAAATTTAGGAAACCCTGACTCGTTACCTAAGGCCACACGTCCGTCATCACCAAAGTTGCCTCGGCTCGGGAACTTGGGTACGATTGGGGAAGGTCAGCTATGAGCACCGCCGCTCGCCCGATCCGAAGATCGGCCTCTACTAACCATGATATCTAGTTTTGAAAACGTTATATGTTCTTAATCCGGTTATTAGCCTAATCTTACTATGTGATGCGCACAACACAAAAGTATAGACTAGATCGCCTAATTTGGAACAAAGCATCACATATTCGTTTGGTTGAAAAACAATTTAA